CTCCTCTCTCCTCCTCCTCCTCCTCTCTCCTCCTCCTCCTCCTCCTCTCCTCCTCCTCCTCTCTCCTCCTCCTCTCTCCTCTCTCCTACTCCTCCACCTCCTCCATGCCCTTCTCCTTCTTCATTATCTTATGCTGATCCTCTTCTTTCTCCTTCCCTCCTTCTCTCTTCCCCCCACGACCCCTCCAACCTTGTTCTACATGCCCTCGCATGCACACTCTATAATCTCCTCTCACCCACCTCTATTTCCCCTTTCTTATCCTTCTTTCGAGGGAGACAGTCTTCCTGTCTTCTTCTACTGTCTTCTTCACCTTTCGTCCCTTTGGCTGTTTCCTTCCTCCGTGTCTCTCACCTACTTCCATTTCTTCTCACCTCGCCTGCTGCTTCCTATGCTGCTCGCCCTCGACACTTGTTCGACTACCCTCCAACTCGAACTTGCTCTCACTATCACCACCATCACCATCACCATACCCATTGGAGAGACCTCAGGACATGTTCTACCCAACTCAGAGTCGATTGTTAGAGGAGTAGAGGCAGAGCAAGAGCAAGAGCAAGAGCAAGAGCAAGAAGAACAAGGGAGGGAACGATGGACCAGAAGAAATCATGCGATCATGTCGATTGATACTTGTGAACAGGGATGATCTCGTAGAGTCCTTGCTCCTTCCCTTGCAGTCTCACACCCATGAGGCTCCGCTGTCCCCCCTTGACTTCTCTGCTCCTCGTCAGCTGCGGCTGGCAGTTTGCTTCCTCCCTCCTCCCCTCCCTGCCCTTGCGACCTGGTCCCTGCGGTGACGCTCGCACATGCTGGAGGTCACGACAACAAAGGATCGTCAGGATCAGCCGCTGGCATGCGAGGAGGCAGAGCGCCGCGCTACTTCTGAGCTCTAGCAGCGACCCAACAGACGGACAGCAGAATTCAACCTCCTCCTCCTCCCAGTCCAGCGCATGGGACGTCCTGCTGAGCAAGCTCCCGTCTACCGTGCTGAACTCATCGCCGTACATCAACCGGGAGAAGCTCGTAGCCAACGAGTCCTTCCCCATCCCCAACGAGACGTTCTCGAAGCTCCAGCAGGACAGTCAGAGCACCTTTCCCTCCATCCCCTTCGGCTTCCCTCCCTTCACAGACATGCAAGAGAAGCTGCAAGACGCCAGGAATCGAACTGGGGGCTCTGCCAGCGACCCTCCGACCCCAGCAGGACCCCAGCAGCCCGAGGGCCTGTCGACATCCAGCGACGGTCAGCTGGAATTGTGGCGGATGGTGGATCAGGTCGGGGTGAGGCTTGACCAGCTGCGCGACTTGCTGTCTCAACCTCAGGAGCCGGACCTGGCCAACGCCATCTACCAGCTGCAGTCAGCCGTGCTCAACGTGACGGAGGACCTGACGGAGCTGCTGCGGTCCACGCAGCGGGCGCAGGACCTTGAGGAAGTGAGCAGGATAGAGTCGAAGCTGCAGGATGTGATCGCGCAGGAGCTGGAGGAGGCGCGTCGGGAGCTTGCGTTCTCAGCCATCAAAGTCTCGAACCTCGAGAAGAAGGCAGCGTCCCTCGGGATAGACAACGGCACCAAGACCAAGACCTTCAGCCTCAGGGCTGCTGGGACGCAGCAGGGGATGAACAGCAGCTCTCGAGCCGGCGGACGCCCGTCGATTCCCAGCGTGTCGGTGGAGAGGTTGGGGACCAAGACGCTGATCAGAATCGAAGAGGAACCGACACCTGCGTCCAAGCGGCAACGACTCGCGCAAGCCGTGGGGTCGTTTTTGAGCAGCTTCAATGTGTTCAGGGGAGACGCGGGAGAGAAGAGAGGAGGAGGAGGAGGAGCGAGTACGCGGGGGCAGCAGAAGGAAGAGCAGACTCAGAGAGTGCTGAAGAAGGAAGAGGGAGAAGACAAGTTGCCCAAGGAGAGGTACCTGGACGGAGTTGCGGAGATCAAGCACGCTTGGTACGGCAGCGAGAAAGACCTGGAGAAGTTGTCGGGTCGGCAGGAGTCGAAGAGGAGAGGACCAGCTGGAGAAGGCAGGGCTGAGTCGACCCCCAAGAACCGGACGAGCATGGACCAACTCTGGTCGAACCTCTGGAACTCCGACGATCCAGCCAAGGTGGGCAAGGACGTGACAGGAAAGGTGCTGGGAGCCCTGCGGCTGGTCCCGCGGGAGCAGAACGATGGCAAGACGCTCAGCGGCTTCCTGTCCCTCCCCTTCGATCTGAACCAGCTGCTGGGAGATCCAGCGTTCGGCTCCAACAAGCTCCTGGTGATCGAGTACTGCGATCGGGAGGGGAACAACATGACAGCGATATGGAAGGAGAAAGATGTACAACCTCAGACCTGGAAGAACCAGGACATGTACGACATCTCCTCGCAGCTCCTGCGAACTCCTGGCAGACAGGCTGCTGTCAACGCCAGCCAAGGCAAGGCAGAACAGGGGGAGGAGGAGAAGGCAAGGCGGCAGGAGGGCGTCCCGCAAGGGCCCTCTCCCTCCGTTGCTGACCCAACACGAAGGCAGCAGGGGGAGAGGCTGGTGAACGCGAGCGCAGGGCGGAGGGGAGAGCAGGAGAACGTGACGGAGGACGGAGGGAACGTGTGGTTGAAGCAGGTGCTGTGGCTGCCCGACGAGGCCCTCAAGGATGAGGTTTGGATCGCCAAGGACCCGGAGCTCTTTGAGCAGGAGGATCCGGTCCTGACCGCCAACGCACCTCCTCCCGTCATTCCCTTCATCAAGTACGCGTCCACCGGGCCCCCCCGCTCCCCCTGGACCTCCCCCGACTGCTCGCTCCCTGAGTTCAGGATCCTCTCGCTAGACGGGGGGGGCGTGCGCGGCATTTTGTCTGCTGTCATCCTCGCCAGGCTCCTCAAGGCTGTCCCGACCTTCCTCGACAACGTCGACCTGCTGGCCGGCACGTCGACCGGCGGTCTCATCGCCCTCATGCTCGCCGTGGGCTACACGCCGGAGGAGTGCCAGAAGATCTACGAGTACGCGTGTCCTCTCATCTTCGCCAAGGACCCCTGGAGGATCTACAACCCGCTCAAGGCCAAGTACAGCCCCAAGGGACGGGAAGACCTCTGCCGCACCTACCTCGGGGAGGACAGGACGCTGCGGGACCTCAAGAAGCACGTGGTTGTCACCTCCTTCAAGCTCGATGGCAAGACAGGCAACATGGGCGCCTTCATCAACATGAACGGCGGGTGGCGCCCAGCCGTGTTCTCCAACATCCCCAGACTCGACGGAGTGATCGAGCCCGATCTCAACTTGTACGCCTGGGACGCGGCCCTCAGAACCTCAGCTGCTCCCACCTACTTCCCCTCGCACAAGGGCTACGTGGACGGCGCCATGTTCGCCAACAACCCGAGCATGCTCGCCGTCAGCAAGGCCTGCGCGCACTTCCCGCGGGTGACGCCTGAGAACGTGGTGGTGCTGTCGGTCGGGGCCGGGAACTTCCCTATCGCGATCCACGAGGCGGAGGAGCAGGACCTGGACTGGGGTATCAAGGACTGGGTCCCCTACATCTTCGACCTGATGCTCGACGGAGACTCGCTGTCGTCGGAGCTTCTCCTCCGCTACATGCTCAACGCCCCGTCCAAGGGCTTCCACCCGGACAAGCGCTACTACCGCATCGAGCCGACGCTCAGCGGGCCCATCGAGCTGGACTCGGTCGAGAGCATCCCCGAGCTGATCCGGGTCGGCAACGCGGTCGACCTGACGGAGGGCATCGCCTTCGTCCAGCGTCACTTCTCCAGCGGCCCTGCCTCAGCCTCCGACGCCTTCGCTCAGGCGGCGGTCAAGACGGCGAGCTGGGCGAGGCAGCAGGCGCTCAAAGTGCAGCTGAGCGAGATCATCGGGTCCTTCACTGCCATCCCCACCGCCTACTCGCCGCCATGGTCGGTCGGAGTGCCGTCGCTGTGGGGCGACGACGCGGCGGGGAAGGGCAACTCGACACAGGCAGGGCAGGCGAGGAACAGGTGAGGGAGGAGAGGAGGAGGAGGAGGAGGAGGAGGAGGAGGAGAGCCTCGATTGTGCTCAACGTAGTTCAGTCAAGAACCAACTTGTCTCCGGTCACCTACTTCTCTATCATGCCTCTATATACAACAAGCTCAGAGGGTCTCCTGCTCCTCCCTCCATGTCGCTCAGTGTAGCTCGCCATGTCTCGCGCCACGCCTCAGCCTCTTCTGTTGGCCCGGAAGCGCTGCTACATGCTGCAGCTGCTACGACGTCACTGGGAGCAGGCACAGGCAGCAAGCATCGTCACCTGCTGCTGCTTGAGCTTCTGCTGCTTGAGCTTGCTCAGCTGCCTCGACTTCTGGCTGCTCATGACGTCACTAGCTTGCACCGCCTCCTCGCGCCCACCTGTTGCCCTTGACGGGAAACTTGTCCGTGTAGATCTCGATGGTCGAGCCGGCCTCGAGCTGGGAACAGGATGAGGAGGAGGGAGAGGAAGGAGGGCAACTCACAGTGTTGCAGCCGAGGAAGAAGCCGCTGTTCCCTATGTGGTCTTGTCCTGAAGGTCCGCAGCAGCCGCCCTTGCCGCATCCCTTCACAAAGTCATCAGGAGAGGAGCAGGAGAGAGGGGAAGAGAACCGCGAGCTTCTCGCCCTCTGACTTCGACTTGTCTGACTTCTTGCTCTCTGATCCTCCTCTACCCCTGCACTCAGACTTCAGCACCAGCCCACCAGCGGCCGAAAGCCTCACTTGGCGCCTTCCGCCCCATGGTACCACCATCCCACGCTGGCGCCGCGCTCGCCTTGGAGCCCAACATGTCCTTCCAGCCCCTGCAAGCAGTTCAGTTCCTTCCTCTTTCCTCCCCCAGCCCATCCCTTCTCTCTCCTCCCCCTCTTCTCCCTCTCTTACTTGAGCTCCTTCCGGTCCCGCTGGTCCCGGTGGGCCCGTTGGGCCCGCGTGTCCCATGGGACCGATGGGGCCTCGTTCGCCGACGACTGTCAGACCCATCGGGCCCTGAGGAGAAGGTGAGATGGAACGACTGAGAGCTCTCCAGTCTTACCGAAAGTCCTGCGTCGCCAGTCTCGCCCTTGTCTCCGCTGCCATGTGCGCGTCAACCACAGCCACGAGTTTCTCCTGCAGCCCTACCGTGCTCCCATGGCCCCTGGCGACCCCTCCGGCCCTCTCAGTCCTACGGCTCCCTCGATCCCCATGGGACCCTGCAGAGGCTCACGAGACTCTCGAGCGGCGCGCTAGTCTCACCTCCATGCCAGGTGGGCCTGCAGCTCCAGAGGCTCCAGGGGGACCAGGAGGACCTTGTTCCATGTCAAAATCCCCAGTAGGTCAACAGCTGGAGGATACCTGGAATGCCTGGCTCTCCGTCCAGTCCGTCCTTCCCTTCGGGCCCTCTGCTACCTCGCAGACCAACGAATCCTGCTCATCCCCATCACACGAGACACAAGAAGACGCGACCCTCACCGTTCTGCCCGGGACGTCCAGGGCTGCCGGGGCTGCCACGAGGACCCGCGGGGCCAGGAGTCTTCAAGAAGTTGATGACGTTTCCTTCCTCCTGCCAGACCTGGTGGGGGCCATCAGACGAGAAGAAGCCATGGAGCCGAAGCGATCTCCACCTCGTCTGACTTGGCCTGCACGTCACCCAGCTTCACTCGCTCGCGCTTCTCAGCGTCCATCATCTTCTCCTGTTCAAGTCCTTCAGCTTCACATCTTTGTAACCGTCGGGTCAAAACCTTCCAGTCGTTGGAGTTTCCGCTGAAATCCTTGAGCTTCTCCTCGAAGTCTTGCAGCCCTTGCAAGATGTTCTGCCGCCATTTCAGCCCCCAGGTCACGAGGCGGGACCGCACCAACTGACGCACCTGAAGTCTGTGCGGGGTGGCATCGGCGGCACTTAGACACGGCGGGTTCATGCAAGACGGAACTGCTCGCCATCGTCAGGGTCAGACCAGGAGTCACCAAGACCCAACCTTGGATGATTGTCTGAGCCAGCATACTCCGACGACCTGGAAACGAGACTTAGCCTCATGGCGATGAAGGAGGAGGAGGGCATACCGAGGCTGTCGTGAGATCGCAGTAAAGGAAACCGATCCTGCTTGAAGCCCTCAAAGAACTTTTAAGAATCGTCACGTTACCTGCAGCAATACGTTCTCCCTCCTCCCACTCCGCCCGAAGCCGTACAGGCAGACGGTAAGTACGACGAGACAAGCGGCCTGAAACAAGACGTGAGTCAAGGTCAAACCATCTTTGACCCTTCATGGCATGTGGTTAATGTCAGTCCTACTGCATCTGCCCCCCTCATGCTGCTGAGTGATCAAGCTACCCATCTTGATCGATTCACATATACTACTCTCTTGGTTGAGCCATGCTGCTTTCAAACCTTAACTTGTCGCGATTCCTCTTGTCCCACTTCTTCGCTTCCCTCCTCATCTGCTTTCATTCTTGGCTTACCTCTTCTCCCCCCTGCTCTCCTCCCCTCGCATCTCGACTCATGTCATCTCCTTCTCTTGTTTCTGTCTCTTATTGACATCTCTTGTTTACTTTAAGGGTTTGATTATTTGCGTGTATCCTTTTTAGCCTTGTCTGGGTTTCTGATGTGATCTCTTTGGTATGCCCCCTTCTCTTACACGAAAAACAACGAGATAACATGAAGGCAAGAAATTTCTAGTGTTGTGTTCTTGTAACTTAGAAGCATCCCTCCCTCTGTCTTCGCTTGTTCTCACGCTTTCATTACTTCTCTCCTCGTTTCCTCTCTATCCCTTCGCTTCTCTTGGTCATATTCTCATCCTATCTTCTCTCCTTCCGTCCTCTCATCTCATCCCCTTCATCTCATCTCCTTCTCTTCTCCTCCTCTCTTCTTCTCCTCCTCTCTTCTCCTCTTACCGCTTGTCGCCATCGCTCCATCGTCGCCCGCGCCTCTTCAGCTCAGGGACCACATCCCCGCACATACCTATAATCGCCCTGGCCCTCATCCCCTATTTTTTTTAATCCAGGTCTATCTGACGGAGATCCTTGCAGTGATCGCTATTTCGGGGACGGCCATGGCGTTTGAGGTGAGGAGGAGGAAGAGGAGGAGGGAGAGAAGAGGAGGGGATGAGCAGAACGAGTATGGGGAGAAGAAGAGAGGAAGAGAGGGAGAGGGTGGGAGAGGGAGACAGGGAGACAGGGAGACAGGGAGGGGATAGAGGGGAAGAGGAGAGGGAGAGGGAGAGGGGGAGAGGGAAGGAGTGTTTTCACGACTTGAGGATCACGAGAAGATGAGAGTGATAGCGAACAACAAGGTCAAGTGATGCAATGTAGCGAATGCGATCTAGGGAGCACGAGGTCATGAAACATGAATGAGGATCGAGGAATGGAATCGTCGAGGAAAGAGACATTTTACTCAAGTGAGCCGTACGGCGGGAAGGATTCTCAAGAGTTTTTGTTTATCACAAAATCTTGAAGACAACAAGTTTCTTGAATAGCATGTGCGTCAGCAATTCTAGCAGTACAAGGGGCGAGCAGGGAAGAGAGAAAAGGCCGAAGAGGGGACCATGGCCAGGACTGATGTAGCCTCGCAGATTCTGAGCTACGAGAGTTACCTCATGTCGCCCATGACCAACTGGGCCGCACATGCTGGTAGAGTCCATCCAGCCATCCCGGGAGATCCCGTAAGGGTTCAAGCTGAGGGAGGAGGAGGAGCTGACATGCTGCAGGAGCCGAGGCTGTTGATTCCCAAGGCTCAGGGGCTGTGGAGCATGGGATCGAACAAGAAGGCCAGGGGACAGGACGGGGTCGATCTCGAGTGAGTGTGACTAAATCAGCTCCTCACCTAACTCCCTCCTCTTACTCCCTCCTCTTACTCCCTCCTCTTACTCCCTCCTCTTCGCTGCTCGTCCGATCCCCTCCCACCGTCCTCTCTCAACTTCCTCCCTGCGCCTCTCTGACCGCTCGATCAGATGCCCAATGTGCTCCAAGTAATCTTCTAGTATTCGTTCATCTTCTCTCTCTCTCTCTCCTATAAAATCTTTACGCACGGCTCTCCTGCAAGTGACTCTTGAGCTGCGAGCTCAGCATCGTGACCTTTCCCTGCACAACTGTCAGGAGGAGGAGAAACACGAGTAGCAGGAGCAGGAGCAGGAGCAGGAGCAGGAGGCGACTGGAGCTCTCTGCTACCTCGAGGTACTCGCACTTGGCACGAAGAGCCTTCTCCCGCACGGAGGGGACGAGCCCTGCAGCGGCTCACTTGTACTTCTCTCACGTCGGCATGCGCGAGCTCTTACCCGACATGCTGAGATCCCGCGAAGAAGATCTGTTGGGGGACCTGCTGGAGGATCAGCATCGTCCCTCCTGTCCTCCTGCTCGCCTGAAGCTGTCAGAGCTGCTCGTCGACATGCCGTCATGGTCCATCCCTTCCTTGGCTTCGTCCTCGTTGGCGCCAGGCTTCACGCGCGAGGGCTCTCTGACTGGAGGTCATCCAGACGTCGGGAGGAGGAGGAGAGGAAGGAGGAGGAAGAGGAAGCAAGGAGCAGACCTATCAGAGCGCCAGGACGAGTCTCCTGGCCCATGTGATCTCCTGCCCTCGGCCGCGAGCTTGACCTGGTGGTGGACCTCTCGCTCCAGACTGTCGATGCGGAGCTGCTGGTCGGAGACGATGACTCGAAGCTCTTCGATCTCCTTGTCCTTCACCTCCACCATCCGATTCCCCTTCCTTCCCCCCTCGTCAGCCTCCCCTCCTCCCTCTCCTCGCTCACCTCAGCGCTGCTATCGAAGACTCGCACGCTTCCTGCTCAGCTTCAGGCCTCTCGCTCCCTCCATCAGGTTACAAGGCTCACCTGCAACCTCAGGTTGAGCTCCTTCACCCTCCTGTCCTTGCTTTCGATCTGCCCCTCCTGATCTCCAACTCGGGCCTAGTCGGAGGGTAAGCGAGTCAACTCCTCCTCCTCATCTTCACCTCCAGCCGGTAGATCTTCGTGCTGGTGGATCTCAACTCCCGCAGATGGTGGTGGACGCTTCCGATCGTCTCCTCTTGCGCTTCCAGCATCGCCCCAGCAGCTTCAGCAAAGTCAACGAGCTCGGCAACAAGCTGGGCGGCGACATGCTGGCAGGCATCTTGAACGGTCGTGAGATGAGCCTCCTTGTCTCTAGCTCTAGCTGAGCTGTCATGGAGTCGCTTCAGCTCCTCGTTCTTGGAGCGGAGCTCGGCTCGCAGCATCTTCACCAGCAGGTCCATCTCCGACAGCTTCTGCTTCATCACATCGCTCGGCAGCCCCGCCCCTCGCTTGCCGGGGAGGCTATCACCTCCTTCCCCTCCCTCTTCGTCTTCGTCTGCGGCCTCGTCGGAGTCGCTGGTTTCGAGCTCGTCTGCGATTCCTCAACCTGTGTAGCCGCATCGACCAGCGTCTGCCTGGATTGCCTGCCCGGCCCTTCCCGTCTCGCTTCCCTCTCGAGGAACAGCACCAGCGAGTCTCGCAGCGAGAACAGGGTAGTGAACCACTCCTCCTTGGCCCTCGCAGTCACCTCAAGCCCTCCAGGCGACTGACTGATGCTCATCCTCTTGAGAGCATCTATCAGCTCCCCGCGCGTCTGCCCGTCGATGAGAGCTTCTCGGAGGATGCTGTACACCTCCTGCAGGAACCGAAACATCGTGTTGGAAGAAGTGACCTCTGCAGAGCGAGAGCCCTCGTCTCCTCCAAGTCCCTCGGCGCGGAGCTCGAGGAGGAGGCGAGCCTCCTTGTCGCTAGCCGCGTCCTCTTCCCTCCTCGCCGCTCGCTGCCTCTCCGTCATCTCCACCATCATCCCCGTGACGTCACCTAGGGCTGCCCGAGCCTCCCGCACGGCCTCAACCTTGTCAGCGAGGGAGGAGAGGACTCGGGCGGCAGCAGCGGAGACGCGATCCATGAGGTCATGCTCGAGCTGCCGGTGATTCTTGAGGCTGCACGCCTCCAGCAGGTAGGGCTGCAGACTCTCCTCGATCCTCGTGAAGGTGTCTCTTCGTGCCCGGCCCTTGAAGACCCAGAGAGACCAGCAGAAGCCCAGCAGCTTGCGGTGCGATCTCTTCATCACCCTCTTGGTGAGCAAGGTGACCTTGTCGAGCTGGGAGCTCGAGGCGCTGAAAGAGCGGAGGTCCAGCTGAAGCCCCAGCTCTTCATTCCGGTAGCGCAGCAAGCTGTTCTCCTGCAAGCGAGGCGTCAGCGAGGAGGAGGTCAAGATCGTGGAGGACCTGCTTCAAGCGCTGAAGGTCTTGAGCCATGGCCATCACTCGGGGGTTGTACGAGGACTCGCTCTCCTTCAAGTCTCGGAGGAGGTTGTCAAGGTCATGGCAAGCGAGTCGCAGGTCGTCGTACAGTCTGCAGGTGAAGGAGTGGGCGACCTGCAGGTCGGGGGGGAGAGGAGCAGCTCTGCTCGCCGCCACCTTGAGCTCCTCGTTCAGCCATTCTATCTCGAGCTCGCGCTTGTGGAGCAGCTTCTCCAACTCGGAGGTAGAGGAAACACCACGAGTCTTGTCCTGCTTTTGTCGTATCATCGTTTGTAGCTGCTGGAGGGAGCTCTTGTAGAGGAAGTTGAGCTTTGCGTTCTCTTGTTCGAGGTATGAAATGCGCTGCCGTGCACCAGCAAGCTCCATCGGCACATCATCGCTCATCGGAGCCATAGCGTCTCTCTTCATCTCTTTCTTGCTTCTCTTCGTCTCCATGCCAGCAGGTTTCCGGTTGGCATACGACGGCGTCTGCTCTCGCTTCCACGTCACGTCTCTTCCCAGGTCCACCACGGCGCCAGCTAGACGCTGCCGCTGCTCCTCACTCTCCTCGAGCTTCGCCTGTAGCTGACGACATCGCCTCGCGAGGGCTTCTTGCCGCTCCTCGGCGACTTTGAGAGCAAACTGAGCAGCAAGCAAGCTCCCCGAGCTCCCGGTCGTCTCCTCGTCTGTCACATCGTTCTCCTCTCCAAGAGCGGCAGGAGGGAGCGAAGCGGGTGCATCGCGGGGAAGTTGGAGGTGTCGTAGGATGGCGGCGTGAGCAAGCTCGATGTCGTCAACGAGGGTCTCGAAGACGGTCAGACGCTCAGGGTCCGGGTCAAGCAGGAGGCTCTCCGTGTAGCAGCACAGGAAGCGATCCAACGCCTTCATGCTCTGAGCCACCTGCCAAGTCAAAACTCTCACGCCCTGCTGCAGCCGCGCGCATGTTTCATGCTCATCCCTCGAACGATGAGCTGCGACGAGCCTCTCGTGCAGAGCGTCCAGCTGCTGCTGCAGACCTTGCTGCATGTCATCGTCATCGAAGGTGATGTGCCTGCGATGCATCTCATTCGTTTCGAGGCTGTCGAGAGAATAGTTGGACGGCAATCGATCGAATTGGATCGCTTGCTCCCTTCCTGTCATCTCATCTATCAAACATTGAATTGTTAGCTCGTGAACTTGAACAAGACCGTTCAGCGATTGTCTTGCCAGATGAAGTTGCAAGACTTCTGAACCCCCTCAACCTCATGCACTGTTGCCTCCATCAATCAACATGGCTGTGCTCATTCACTATGCCTTGTCGAGAACTCTCCTCTCCTCTCCTCCCCTACCCTACCCTACCCTCGCCTCACCTCTCCTCTCCTCCTCTCTCCTCGCCTCCCCTCCCCTCCCCTCCCCTTTCCTCCCCTATCCTCACCTCCCCTCTCTCCTCTCCTCTCCTCTCCTCTCCTCTCCTCCCCTCCCCTCCCCTCCTTTCGTCTCGTCTCGTCTCCTCTCCTGCCCTGTCCTGTCCTCTTCTTCCTCCTTTTTCTCTCTCCTGTCCTGTCCTGTCCTGTCCTGTCCTGTCCTGTCCTGTCCTGTCCTGTCCTCCCCTCCCCTCTCCTCTCCTCTCCTCTCCTCCTCCTCTCCTCTCCTCTCCTCTCCTCTCCTCTCCTCTCCTCTCCTCTCTCTCCCCCTCTCCCTCCATTTCTCTCAACAAGTTTGAACCAACAAGCTTTGTAGGTCCTGCCCCTCCTCCCCTCACTGATCCGATAGCTACAGCAGGGGTCCCTGCAGCAGTACAGCAGGGCTACAGGTAGGGGTAGGGGTACCCACTGAGCCGGGCGGGCCCGGGATGAAGTTTGACTGAGAGAGTGACGGGAGTTTGATGGAGGTAGTCAAGCAAGAGCCTTGCGTTGATGGCATGAGCGGAGGAGGAGGAGGAGGGAGGAGGGGAGGAGGAGGAGGAGGGGAGGAGGAGGAGGGGAGGCAAGTACAACCGCCTGGAACAGTCAGGAGTGATGGAAAGAGAGAAGAGAGAGGAGCTCAGGGCTTGCTTCCACACCGGAGACCTCGATCGAGTCCTCATCATCCTTGAAGACTTTCCTTCTCTCTTCTTGGACTCCCTCAAGGTTCTGTGCTGACGTACCTCCACCGAGTTATGATGCTCCTTGACAGCTCCAGGACGAGAGCAGGCAGGGCATTCTCCACCGCGTCACCATGGCTGGCGACGTCGAAGCCCTTCAGAGGTACCTCGGGATCGCGCAGAAGCTGCTCGAGAGCTTTCCCAAGGACGCAGGGCTGAGAGAGGTAGTGGGGGAAGGCATCGACGCTGCTGACGCGAGTGGCCGCACGAGCCTCCACCTCTGTGCGTACGCGAGAGGAGGGGAGGAGGTTGGGAGGAGGTGTGCGGCAGAGCTCATAGAGGCTGGAGCAACCAGCCTCAAGTCAGACCTACAGGGTCAGATGCCCATGCACGCCGCCTGCCAGCAGGGGCGCACGAGCCTGGTGGAGTTCCTGCTGGAAGTGAGCATCATGCATACCGACCTGCTGCACGTGGACCGCAAGGGCTTCCCGCCGCTGCTGCTGGCGGTGAAGGGAGGCTTTCTGGACATCTGCCGCATCATCCTCGACGTCTCCTCCCTCTACGTCCACCAGCGCACCATCAGGAACGAAACCGCCCTCCACCTCTCCGTGGTGACCCTCCTCCCCCCTTGCTCCTCCTCTCCCTCCCCCCTTGCTGCTCCTCTCCCTCCCCCCTTGCTGCTCCTCTCCCTTGCTCTTCTTCTCCATCCCTCCCTTGCTTCTCTTCTTCCTCCCTTCCTGCTTCTCCTCTCCTCCCTCTGACCTGTCGCTCGAAGTTCCACGATGCGCCCAGGGCAGCTGAGCTGGTGGAGCTCTTCATGGAGCGAGGATGCAGCATTGACGTGCAAGATTTCGACGGTTGGGCCTGTCGCTCCCTCCGCTCCTGATGCATGTGCAGGCGCCACGGCTGGTGAACTCGCCGCTCAACATGCGGATCGCCTGTGGCCAGAGACAAGTGAGGAGAGGGAGGAGGGAGGAGAGGAGAGGAGAGGAGAGGAGAGGAGGGGAGAGGAGAGGAGAGGAGAGGAGAGGAGAGGAGAGGAGAGGAGGGAGAGGAGAGGAGAGGAGAGGAGAGGAGGGAGGGGAGAGGAGAGGAGAGTTCTTGACGTCATCCCTTGCCTTTCCTCATGATTGTCGCGCTTTCAGTTCAGTTCCTCAGCACCGGGCAGAAGGGACGACCAGCGACATCCTCGGACGAGGCAGCGAGAGATCTGATCGTAGCCGTCAAGATCGGCGACATGGCATACGTCATGAAGATCCTGCAGGTGATAGATAGGAGGGAGCGAGTGAGAGGAGAGGAGAGGAGAGAGGAGCAGGCTGTGAGTGGATGAACAGAACAAACAGAAGCAAGCGAGGCGGTGGGAGAAAGGAGGGAGGGAGAGGGAGGGAGGGAGGGACGGGTGGGTGGGGTGGAGAGAGATGGAAGGATGGAAAGAGAGCAGCAGCAGCAGCAGCAGCAGCAGCAGCAGCAGCAGCAGCAGCAGCAGCAGCAGCAGCAGCAGCAGCAGCAGCAGCAGCAGCAGCAGCAGCAGCAGCAGCAGCAGCAGCAGCAGCAGCAGCAGCAGCAGCAGCAGCAGCAGCAGCAGCAGCAGCAGCAGCAGCAGCAGCAGCAGCAGCAGCAGCAGCAGGGAGAGGAGAGCGCGTGTGGTCATGTCACATTGTCATAGGGGTTGAAGGATCAGAAGCGGAGGGTCCTCGACAGGGTGAGGGACGAGGAGGGGTTCTCCATGCTCCACATCGCCGCCTACAACAACTTCCTCCCGCTCCTGCGCGCTATCCTGCCGCTGGGAATCGAAGTTGACAGCAGGAGCAGCCGGATGCTGACTCCTCTTCATCTCGCGATCGCCGCAGGGAGGTAAGAAGCCGCTCGAAGGGAGAAGGAGATGATGATCAGGACGAGGAGAATAAGGAGGTTGTTGTCGTCGTCGTCGTCGTCGTCGTCGTCGTCGTCGTCGTCGTTGACGACGACGACGATGAAATGATGATGATGATGATGGAGATGATGATGATGACGACGACGACGACGATGAGGAGGAGGAGGAGGAGGAGGAGGGGTTGTAGTTGATGATGATGATGAGGAGGACGAGGAGGACGAGGAGGACGAGGAGGAGGTTGTAATTGATGATGATGGCAGGCAGGAGGTAGTGGAGATGCTATTGAACAGGCAGGCAGACCCGCTTGCTCGTGACGATCAAGGTAACACTTGCCTTCACGTCGCTGCTGCAACCATGGGCATGCACGAGACGTTGAGGAAGATGCTGGTCAACCACCGGAAGCGAGTGGGAGGAGGAGGAGCAGAGCGGAACAGCGCCGGTCTCTCCGTTATGCACGTCGCCTGCCTCTCCGGCAACCTCGACGCTGTCACCCTCCTCTGCGAGCTTGATCCCCAGAGCGTGCACGTCCTCACGCCTCCTCCCTCGCTGGAGGAAGAGACGGGGCACGAGAGCGCGATGCACCTGTGCCTGGCGGTGGAGGAGGGGAAGGCGCTCAAGATGATCAAGCAGCTGATCAGCAGGCGATGTAACCCCTTCGTGGAGCGAGAGCCGGACAAGAAGACGGTCGCTATGCTCGCTCAGGTGAGCTTGTCGGAGGGTGGGGGAGCATGGAGAGGAGGGGGGGGAAGGAGGAAGAAGAGGGAGGAGAGGAGAAAGACGGAGGACGAGGAGGAAGGGACAGGAGGAGGAGGAGAAGCAGGAGGAGAAAACAGTGAGGGTGAGAGCAGGAGATGGGTCTCAAGCTTATCACGGACTACTGGGAGGACGAGCTCGGCCCTCTCGACATCCTCGACTGGACGGAACTTGACACGCAGAGACTTTTGAGTGCAGCAGCTGAGAATCAGGTCCCGTGATTCCCACCACCACCACCACCACCTCCTCCTCCTCCTCCTTCTCTCTTCTTACTTCTGCTCGCCGGCCTTCCTCTCTCTCACTATCCATCTAGATCTCCGAGCTCAAGCGCGTGCTGGAACCTCCTCCTGTGGGTCGACGGCTGGACTGCAACGTGAGGAGCGAGGGGGGGGAGGGGCTGCTGCATGCGGCGGCGAGGCGAGGAGCGCAGAAGTCAGTCAAGTACCTGCTGGGACGAGGATGCGACTGCAACCTGCAGGATGGGGAGGGCAACACTGCCCTGCACCTGCTCGTCCTGAACCTCGACCTCGACCTCCTCCAGTTCCTCTGCTCTGAGACCTACCGCCTCCACCACAGCCTCGAGCACCGGGTCAAGGACGCGGAGGCGAAGGCGAGGAAGGAGGCTGAGGACAAGGGGCTGTCGGCTCCTGCCGTCGAGAAGTTCTGCGAGAACGCGGTAGCAGTGATCGTCAAGGAGGAGGAGAGAAAGTGGAGCCTCGACTATCGCATGCCCTCCCGCCCCCACCTCCTCCTCGACCTCAACGTCCGCAACGCCGACGGCAACACGCCGTTACACCTGGCGGCTGAGCTGGGGGTTGCCAACATCATCGAGCATCTGCTGGGCGTTGGGGCGGATGCGTCGCTGCTGAACCTGGACGAGCTGAGCCCCATCGAGACCGCGAGGATCCACACGCGCTCCCTCGTCCTCGACCTCCTCCGCGAGGCTCAGTTCCAGTTCCTCGCCCGCAGGCAGCAGGAGGAGAGGAAGCAGCGAGTCGAGCAGCTGAAGAATCAGCTGGCGGAGGCGAAGGCTCAGCAGCTGCGGCACAAGGCAGACGATGCGGACGTGCGCGCAAAGTTGACGAGGAAGTTCGAGGAAGCGAGGGAGGCGCTGAGAGCAGCCGAGGAGGCGGCGACGTTAGAGAGTTGCCTGGAGGCAGAACGTGCCGCCTACGCGAACAACCTCAAGTACCAGCGATCGCCAGAGTTCTCACGACGGTGAGTGCTGCTGATTGCGGGGAAAGGGAGGGAGGAGGAGTGGAGGCAAGGCAGGAAGAGAGAAGGCAGGGGCAAAGGAGGAAGAAGTGGGGGGAAGGCAGGAGCAGGAGCAGGAGCAGGAGCAGGAGCAGGAGCAGGAGCAGGAGCAGGAGCAGGAGCAGGAGGAGCATTGGAGGAGGGGAGAGAGGAGAATGATGAGAAGGAAGATCAGGGGGAGGAGGGTGGACATGGTCTGACGGTCTGCCATGCGCAGGCTACTGCGGGAAGTGCTCGAGGGGTCTACGAAGCGGCTGCTCAAGTCGTTGGCCCTGACCGATGACGTCCGAAGCTCCGCTAACTGCCTCGTCTCCATCGCTGCCTCCGACCTCCCGCAGCCTCTTTCTCGCTTCTTCCTCCGCCTCCCCGGCGTCAACCCCAATGGCTTTCTATGCCCTCTCCTCCACATCGCCTGCGCCCTCGGGCGACTCGAGTGCGTGCAGCTGCTGCTGCGGCTGGGAGCGTCGAGCAACTGGTTCATGGAGGACTACCAGACTCCCCTGCACGTCGCCTTCCTCTTCGAACGCTACGACGTCTGTCGCGTCCTCGTCGCGGCTGGCGCCAGCATCGAGGCGAGGGACGGGGACGGGCGGGCGGTGCTGCACACGGCAGCGAGCAAGGGGAACGTGGAAGCAGTTCGGTTCCTGCTGGAGCTGGCGGCCGACGCGTACGTGGTGGATCACAACGGCTACTCGGCCCTGCATGCGGCAGCTGAGCAGGCGCAGGCTGCGACAGCTCGAGAGCTGCTGGAGGAGGAGCCCGGGCTGGCGCTGCTGCTGAGCCTCAAGTATGAGAACGCGCTGCACGTGCTGCTGCTGGCAGTGCTGAGAGGGCGAGCGGAGGGGAGGAGGGAGGAGGAGAAGGTGACGGCGACAGCTGAAGTTCTGCTGGAGTTCGGAGTGGACGACCGGGCTGTGTGTCTGACCGAGCAGGGGCTGCGCCTGACGCCGCTGGGGATCAGCCGGGCGCTGGAGCTGAAGGAGACGACCCGAGCCTCACTCGCTTCCGGCACATGCGCGTCCCCAGGAGGCGGGGGATGCGCAGAAGGCCAGCAGCAGAGCTGCAGCTGGAGCTGAAGGAGAGCGCGGCAGCGAGCAAGGGGAGGAGAGGGGAGGAGGGGGGCGGGAGGGACTTCGAGTCGCTGCTGGCTGAGCGAGCTACGGGGATTCAACGACTGTTCCGCGGGTTCAGGGTCAGGGTCAGGACCCACGAGTTTCGCGAGGCCCTGCGGCGAGAGCGACAGGAGAGGGAGGGGGAGGAAGGGAGAGCCAGGCTGAACGCTGCTCTCTTCCTCTCTGCCTGCTCCGCTCGCTCCCTCGTCCGCTCCCAGTACGCGAAGAACTTGACGAGATGGCGGAGGGGGGGAGGGAGGAGGCTGTTCGGCTTCCAGCTGCCTCGGTTTCAGCTCCCCAGCCTCAACCTTGCGCACAGAGCTTCTCTCCTCCTCTCCCTCGTCGCCGTCAAGACCCGCAGCCTCTTCCAGGCCATCCGGCGAGGCGACGGAGCAGGCAGCGGATTCTCCCGCGACGAGTCGACGCTCATCATGAGCTGGTACCGATCCAACCTCGGGAGCCTTCGCGGGGCTCTCGCCCAACAAGAGGCCCCAGCAGAGGCCCCAGCAGAGGATTCAGCTGCTGGTGACTCAGAAGGCCTGGAGGAGGAGGAGGAGGACTGGCTGAGCTCCTCGCCTGACATGCGTCACCCTCCTGACTCGCTTGCTGCTGGGGAGCTGCCGCTGTCAACGGTCGCAGAGGAAGCCGAGGGGCACGTGCGAGGCCCTGGGAGGTCGAAGGGATGGGAAGGCAGAAGGGAGGAGGAGAAAGCGCAAGAGAGCGAGGAGAGGCATGGGAGGAGGGAACAGGAGGAGCATCACGAGCATTTCGAGCATCAGGAGGAGGAGGGAGTGGAGGGTAGCTTGTTTCGATCATCAGTCATCGAGGTCAGTGAGTTTGTGGAGCTGGTGAAGAAACAGGACATGGAAGCTATCGCAGAGATTCTGGAGGAGGAGGAGGAGGAGGAGCGAGTGAAGGAGCTGGTAAACGCTGACGCCGGAGGAGGAGACGGGGCTTGTCTGCTGCACATGCTGGCCAGGGAAGGAGTGCTGGAGATCGCGCACTCGCTGCTGCTCGCCAAGGCTGACCCCAACGCCTCCGACGCTCTCGGACGATCTCCCGTGCATGCTGCGGTGTGGAGG